ATATAATATATTATGATTTCAGCATCACATTTAAATGTTATTTGTTATTAGGTAAGAAGTGCCTCTTCACTCCTATCCTAGGGTATTAGGGATTGAACTCACGGCCTTTGCACTGAGCTACTGTGCTTGTCTGCCCATGTGCTTTCTTAAATCTCTAAGTTGCCCAGGCAGGGGTTAAACTGTAGATTTTCTTGTCTCAGTATCTCAGAGCTGTTAAGTTAGTTTCTATTTGTATCACATGTTTTATAATAGATATTGAGGTGATGTTAGTTTCTATTTGTATCACATGTTTTATAATAGATATTGAGGTGATTTCTAGACATATTGCCACACTAGGGGATATTGGAGTTTTTCCTACACTGTCAAGAATGAACAGGTTTCTCACCTACACGAGGTTCACAGATCACTGTGATGTACTGGGTTATTCACTGGGACTAAAGATTAATCCCTTTTGAATAAAAGCCTAGTTTAAAAAAAATCTAAAGACCAGGGTAGTCATAGATAATTGGCTGTCTTTTATTACTGTTTGGCAAGTTAGGACTATGGAGCGGTGAGTTACCCAGGGCAGATGGCTTTGAGGTCATACAGGCAACCAAGGAGCAGCATCCTTATCATACAGTCTTTTAAAATAAGCTGAGCTTTCATTGTTCTTAAACTAGACGAAGACACTTCCCCAAGGTGACTGCTTGATTGCATTTAGATATAAAAGAAATTTCTCATTCTTTTCCTCCCTGACTGTTGGAGGATCCCTTACCATTGTGAATGACACAGTAACTATCTGAACTCATAAGTTCATGACCAACCGACTTCTTCAAAGGAAACAAATGGTCATTGATGTCCTTCACCGTGGGAAAGTAGTACCACCTAAGACAGAAGTATGGTAAAAACTTGCCAAAATGTACAAGAACACACCAGATGTCATTTTTGTGTTTGGATTCAGAACCCATTTTGGTGGTGGCAGGACAACTGGTTTTGGCATGATTTATGATTTCCTGGATTATGTGAAGAAAAATGAGCCCAAACATAGACTTGGAAGGCACGGCCTGTATGAGAAGAAAAAGACCTCAAGGAAGCAGCAGAAGAAACACAAGAACAGAAAGAAGGAAGTCAGGGGCACTGCAAAGGCTAACGTTGGTGCTGGCAAAAAGTGAGCTGGAGACTGGAGAACAGCAGAAGGAGTAGAGATTCTGCAGTGCCTGCAACTTTTTTCACGAGAGGATTTAATAAACTATAAAACCTTAAAAAAAAAAAAACTCAAGGTTTCCTGAAGATCATGATGAATGTTCAAAGATCAGCCAAACTGTTAACATGACCTGAAATTGAATTACAAGGCTGTTTTGGTGTTGCTTGATCATCAGTTGTTCTCCTTGGCTGGGCTGAGCTGGGCCAAAGCCTTTTTGTGAACCAGGGTAAAAACAAGTAGGACCTTAAGAACATGTACTTTAACACATCTTATGTGGTTTTTGAGCAGTTGGACTTGCAAAAGTCCAACATTTAATAAATACTTTTTTTTTTTTTTGTGGAACCGGGGATCGAACTCAGACCCTTGTGCTTGCCAGGGAAGTGCTTATTGTACTGAGCCATGTGCCATCTCCCCGGCCCTGACCTCTGCTGTCCGGCACAGGTTGGTTTGTTTGTTTGAAGTACTGGGGATTGAACTCAGGACCATGTGCTTACCAGGCAGGTGCTTAGTCTGTTGACCTATTTCCCTGGCCCTGGAACACTTTCTGAAAGAAGATAGTAAAAATAATTCTGTTTGGGGCGGATTAGGTGTGGCATTTTGAGTATCTGGATTTCAGTAGTCATTATCATCACTATCAACTTGAAAAAATATTGCTGTACCCCAGTTACAAATCAGGGGAAGCTGCCCTAGCTGTGTAGCACATAACCTGGATGAGAATGCTCAGAGTGGACATCTGTGGACATCTGGGGGCTTGACAGGGAAAGGCGAGGACAGATGGCATAGCCAGAGGAAGGGACTGCAGGATACCTGGCATGGGACAGGAAAGGCTGTGAGTGACTGGTGGAGAAGCTCTGCTTTAAGGCAGGGTTAGATCGATGCCTAACAGAGACCAGAATTAACTGACTTTTGGAAGGTGCAGACTGTCATCCTTTGGACAGCGAGATCGGTTTCTGGGAGACTCCGTAACACTTCTGTTTTTTGTCTTCTTTTTCCAGCTGGCTATACTGTCTTCTCTTTCTCTTGCCCTTTCAGTGAGATTGAGGTAAAATTCTTAGGGCCTTAGGTATGTATTATACTACTATTTTTTATTGATTTATTGAAAGGAACAGTTAATGTTTGTTTGACCAATTTTGTGTTCTTATATCTGGTAATCTAAATAACTGCTTTGAAGATAATATATAATATAACAACCATAGTTAATTTCCTATCATTTTGTTTTGAAGTTCTGTATCATTTTTATTGTTTTTGTGTTTTGATTTTGTCTTTATTGTTATTTTGTTGTTTTTTTCTCTTTAAAATAAAAGAATCACCAATAGGAAGTGGTTTAATATCTAGTCCTTTATATTAATATTTATATTCACTTCCTCTGTTTGTGAATAGTATAAACACTCTTGTGTTTAAACCTAAGGTAATAGTCTACTTAGTACTTAAAGTTTTCGAGTCATTTTATGCTTAGACATAAAATCTGAAAAGTAAATACTGCTATTTTTATTCTTATTTTATAGTTGAAGAAAGGTAGGCCCAGAGGTTAAATAATTTTTTGAAAGACATATATTTATTTGGTACAGGGTCTCGCTACACAGCTCAGACTCATAGTGATCCTTCCATCTCAGCCATCCCAGTGCTGGTATTGTAGGCATGAGCCACCATGTCTGGTTTCACTGGCTGGCACAGTGTCAGGCTAGCATGGCATGCAGTACTGGGGATTGAACCTGGGTCCTTGAAATTGTCAGGCAG